GTATAAACCTATGACTAGATTAGCTCAGATATTTTGGAGCTTCATTCACTTCTTAAGCTAGAACTGGTTATTTGCTTCCATTTCTAAGAAATTGGCTGCTTTAAACAGCTCGTCAGTCATTTTGACTTTTTTGCTTCTTGGGTTTTGGTCTTTTCCCCTAGGCTGAGAGACATTAAATCAACACTATCTCAAAATTATTTCATTTTGGAAAAAAACAGTAGGGAAAGGACATTGATTATATTTGGACATAACTGTAAGTAGTAGGATGCAAACTGATTTAATTTCAAATATCAAATAGTTTGTTGGTAGGAGATCATCTACATTATTATCAACTTATTTTTCATAGTGATGAATAGTATTCAAATAATTTTCTTTTGTTTCATTTTTAGTGCTAGGAATTGAACTGGGGCCTCATACATGCTAAACATGCATTTTACCACCAGGCTAGTTCCTTAACCCAACGGAATACTTTAGTTCTTTTCTCCTTTAAAGAATACAGCTGGGCGCTGGTGGCTCACAGCCTGCAATCCTAGCTACTCAGGAGGCTGAGATCTGAGGATCACGGTTCAAAGCCAGCCTGGACAGGAAAGTCTGAGAATCTTTAATAAACCATTAGAAAACCGGAAGTGGCGCTGTGGCTCAAGAGGTAGAGTGCCTTCCTTGAGCTGAAGAGCTGAGGGACAGGGTCCAGGCCCAGAGTTCAAGCCCCACGACCAACCAAAAAAAGAAAAAAGAAGAATTATAGCCACCAGACTTTTACTATGAGACTAGGAAAACATTCAAGTATGTAAAGAGCCCACGTGCTCACCACATTGCCATTTTTCCATAAATTCTGTTGGAATGGTAGATGTAAACCCAATAAAATCTGAGTCTAAACAGGTGAAGATAAATAGTAAATGTTTGAAAAAGACTAATCAAGGAGACCTGCTCTACTAGAAACACTCAAACTTGGATAACTAAAATAGGCAATTACACAAGAACAGAAAAAATAAGATAGTAAATGAATAGTATCACCTCACCTGTTTCTTAGTGCTAATTCTGGAATGAGAACATGGAGGGTATAGGTGATCCAATGGCTTTCTACTTTACTGTAATCAGTTGTTAGATGTGAACCCCACAACCAGTGTGTGATCTTAGACAAAATTGATATGGGAAGCTGCCTGCTGATGATCTTGCCGCACTTGGTGCTATAAGAGTTCTCTTCTGGAGCAGTTGAGTAGCTCATCTCAGGTCTATCTGTTATTTATCTTTATCCTATATATATATATATATATATATAGGATACTGATGTTTGTCTTATTACAGCTCCTTCTCTTGGAAAAGACTTGATAGCAGTTATGTCTTGGGTATTTGTGGTAGGGCAAGGATTAGAGGTACCAGAAGCAACCACTCTAAAGGCTTTGGTTCTTATTCTCCAGCAGAGGCTGTGGCCGAGTTGTGAATTGGTGGTCTTATGAGAAACCTTGGTTGGGGAAGTAATAAGGCACTGAGAGTTACACTATATATAGCATGTATATCTGGTATGTTTCAGGTACATAACATACTCTTGTGTATAAGGTTAGAAGACTTTTGTCCATTAACATAGCTTTCTGTTGACAGGCCCAGATTCGGAGTGATAGGCTATGTGAGAAAGGGAAAGATATCTAGCCTAAAGTGATTTCTCCAGTTCTTAGGGAAGCTAGCCACTTCCCACTTAGGTCTCTTAGAGCACCTGCAATAATTCTGATCTATCTACCTGAGTCCAGAGGGAGCATTTTCTATGTAGTTCTTCTGTATGTGCTGTTATTTTTGCTTCGCACCAAGTAAAAAGATCAAGAACATATGTGTATCATGATCTTCAGAGTGGAAATGTGAGGGGAGACTGGTAGATTGTACTGGGAAGGTTTCTAGTTTCTTTTTTTTCTTTTTTCTTTTTTGTCGGGGCTTGAACTCTGGACCTGAGCGCTGTCCCTCAGCTCTTCAGCTTAAGGCGAACGCTCTACCATTAGAGCTACAGCGCCACTTCTGGTTTTTTAGTGGTTTTTATTGGAGATAAGAGTCTCAGGGACTTTCCTGCCTGGGCTGGCTTTGAACCATGATCCTCAGATCTCAGCCTCCTGAGTAGCTAAGATGACAGGCATGAGCCACCGGCGCCTGGCTGAGGTTTCTAGTTACTTTCTCTGAACATTGTCACCATGAAGTTTTTAGAAGCCAACCTAAGGAGAAAGAGTTTGTGTCATTGTGGAGCAACTGAATTAGTCAGAGTTAAGTCTTTCATGATGCTTTGTGCAGTGGGAAGAGATAGATAAGCAAACCTGCATTTATTGAAATACATAGTATATTTGAAGGTGGTAAGGGCAATGGAATAAAATAAAGCAGAAAAGGGGATGAGGAAGGATGGTTGCACTTTTTAAAGGGTGGTCAAGCAAGGCTTCTGAGAAGGCAAGGTATAACTAACAAAAACAAGGGCCAGAGCTGAACATTGCACATAGCAACAACAGTAGATACAAATGTCCTGAGTGTATTTGAGCCAGTTCTGGGTTTAAAGGACTTCGAGGGGTCGGCAGTAACTAGGACCGGAGAGCAACTGGGAGGGCCATTGGAGATTGGGTTCAGCTGGATATGAGTTTAGGCTATTGGCAAAAACTTCTGACTTTCTCTGAGGCAGAAATGTTGGAGGCTTATGAGGAGGGAACTGTATGATCTGTCCGGTGTTAAAAGAAAGAAGAGGCAATGGAGGAAGATTAGGAGCAAAAAGAAGCAGCAGTACTTGGACAAGAATGTGATTTGGAGTGATCCAGGTATAAGTTCCACATTTTTAATTATATTGAAAACCTTATACCAGAAGCCATTTTGCTTATCCCCACATTTAGACAAAGAAAGCTTCCATGTAATTCATTGTTAAATAATATCATTCCAAAAGTGCTGTTGACTTATTTTTGGCAGCATTTCTATATGAGACTATATAATAATGTAAGGACATTCACCAGATTCTGTGGGATGTAAGAGTGAATTTTATTTGGGAGTATGAGGTGGCTTTATACTAGAGAAAGATTTTCCTAAGTGTTCAGGTAGAAAAGTACTTGACTTTTCAAAGTAAATATTGTATTCTTGAAATAAATTTTTATCCTTCAGCCCTATATTTTTTGGGTTCCCTCCAACCCCCTAGTAGGAATCTGTAATGGTAGCAATGTTCTGGGAGCCATTTCTAGTAAGTCACACTGGGCCAGCTGTTGTGAAATGGCAGCTCTGTGTCACACGCATATAAGTCATTGATGTTGGAACTGGAAATCTGTCTTTAACACCAAATATGGTGCTTTCTTGGTCAATTATGCATGGATTTTATTCATGGATTTTCACCTGTGGTCAATACTTTTCATTGAGTCTAACTAAGAATCAAATCTCACATGAACTGGCTCTTTAGTTTTAGACATAAATCCTTTTAGATCAAGAATGGTTACTTCCTGTGAGAATTAAATACTTCAGACTCTGATAAGCTGATATTGACTTTAACTGAAGAAAAGTTTATTTCTGGAAGCAGGATTTTTCAAGAAATTCTTTTTAGTTCTCAGCAAGTTCCAGAGAACAGCATGCTTAACCTACTGGATTTCACTCAGGGAAGTGAGGCTGGGGGGCGGCTGAAGAGGGGAAGGTGAGACTCGCATCTGTAGAGTGCCCTCTGTGTTCCAGTGGGCAGCAGTTGAGTCCATGGCGTAAGTTCAGTAGTCATGCCTTCATTTTCACAAGTGGATATTCAGAGAAAGATATACGACTTGCTCAGTCATTTTGCAAATAAGTGAGGAAATGAAATTGGCTCCTACATCTGGGTGACCTCAAAGCCTACGCTATCTCTTCAAAGAGACTGGCTGGTTGAAAGCAGAAGTAAACATTATGTGTTACCTCAGATGAGTTTTGTTTCTCCGGGGTCTCATTTCTGAAGCTGTTATTTCCATCAGCTCTGTTTGGAACTTAATAGTCCTGTGCAGAGGAGAACACTGAGGTCTTTCTTCTGTCACTTTATAGATTTATTATTGTGCATTTTGTGTGGATTTTAAAATGTAGCTGTTGACTATAGCCAAGCTATGGACTTACAATAAGATCACATTCATTTGATTTCCATTTTAATAAGATGGACCTTCTCTTTTAATATAAATATATATTTATATATAAAGATAAAGATATTTTACAACATTTCTGCTTGAAAGTATGTAGTATCAATTTTCAATTAAAGTCATCATGGTAGTGATGTTTAGAGTATATAACATTAGAGTATGGATCATATTTTATTATTGTGTACCTGGGAGTGTAAAAGAGTAGTTATTGTTACTGATTTCTAAAAGTAGAACTGAGTTACTTATTTCTAAAAGGAGAACTGAGTAAGGAATACTCAGCCAGCCTCTGTGGTGAATAGAGTATTATGTTGTTATCTCTATGTCTCAAGATTTCTTGAAATTATCCTGGTCTGTATAGGACATACATATTCATGGACATGTGTATGCACACAGAGAACATGATTCTAGGTATGGAACTACTTAGGATAAAAAGAAGGCAAAAGGGAAAAATGAAAGAGGGTGAATAACTGTGAAACACATTTCAACTATATATGGAGATAGTATTAAGAATCTCAATGAAAGCTGTAGATTAGTAGTAAGTTGCAGGGGTAAAGAAAGAAACAAGGCTCTGTTGGGGAGGTGTGAAAAATTGGATTGACAAGGACGGTGAATGAGGATGACTATAAACCTGGAGAAATTGTTTTAAGAAGGAAGGGGCAATAGGGAAAGAGATGGAAGGGGTGAACTTGATTGGAAATCATTGTATGCATGTGTGGAAATGTCAAAATGAAACCATCCATTATACAGCTAATATGTGCTAATAAAATTATCCTTATCTAAGTGTTACATCAGATGGGGGGGGAGGTGTGGAATTTGAAAGGATAACGTCATCAAATACTTTCATTATTGCAGTGTATTAAGATTCCATATTTTTCTCATTGTGTATGTATGTTGTGTTTTCTTTTCTAGAAGAAAAATTCAAAGTGGAGACAAGGACCATTGCTGTTGATTTCACTTCAGAAGATATTTATGATAAAATTAAAACAGGCCTGACAGGTCTGGAAGTTGGTCTTCTAGGTTTGTATTTTTGCCACATTTATGGACTTTGCTTGCATATACAATCTCACTTACACTCTGCCTTTATTTTCTCTTTGTGTATAAGATATTCAGTGGTAAAATGGTGGGTGAGAATTTTATCTTATTAATGCGCTTCATCCATAGATAACACTAATCTATGTAAGCTTGAATTATTTTGTTAATTATCTATTAGCACTCATTGTTCAATTTAGTTATTTCCTGTGTCTGCTTTTCCCTGTCTTATTCTCTTTGTAAGCATTAAGATATATCTGTGCTATAATAATCTTTTAAGGTGGGTATCTCTAACCTATCACAGCTGAGGAAATGAAGACCTAGAAAGTTTTCTCATCCTTTCGTTCGTTGTTACCCCTGAAAAACCTGAGTAGACATCTTCTAATGTCTCATCCCCATGAAACTTTAATACCACAGATATATTTTCTATCTTTGCTTTAAGAGAAATAAAATCCTTCCCTACACACACACACACACACACACATACACACCAGATTTCTTCCCCCTGGGGGAGATACACACACACACACACACACACACACACACACACACACACACACACACACAGATTTCTTCCCCCTGGGGGAGATACACACACACACACACACACACACACACACACACACAGAGATTTCTTCCCCCTGGGGGAGATACCCAGTGATACACACACAGACACACACAGACACAGAGACAGACAGACAGACAGACACACACACACACACACACACACACACACACACACACACAGAGAGATTTCTTCCCCCTGGGGGAGATACCCAGTGATACACACACAGACACACACACACACACACACACACACACACACACACACACACACACACACACACACACACACACACACACACACACACACACACACACACACACACACACACACACACACACACACACACACACACCAGATTTCTTCCCCCTGGGGGAGATACCCAGTTGAAAATGCATGGTTTAGGTAGATTAGGGATTTGTCTGGTCACGTAAAGATTAAGTGGCACTACTGGGATTTAATCCTCTATTTCTTTTCTCTACATCTGCTATTCTCTTTTGTTATCCACAGCTACCCTGCTTCTACTAGCATAAATAGATGCTTTTGCTGAGACAGTGGCAACATTGAACTTTGTTATGGAAAAACTTTACCAGAAGATGCTAAGAGGGTAGCCAGGTGCCAGTGACTCGTGCCCGTAATGCTACCCACTAGGGAAGCTGAGAGCAGAAGGATCATGGTTAGTGGCCAGCATGGACAGAAAAGTTTGTGAGAACTTTATCTCAACCCATAGCTGGGCACAATAGCACATACCTGTCATCCAAGCTATGTGCAAGGCTGAAGATAGGAGAATTGTGGCTTGCAGGCCAGCCTGGGCAGAAAAAGTCCTTAAGTTTCCTCCATGGAAGAGAAGCTTCTAAAAGTAGATGGATGGAGAGTCAGGCCTGAACTTGGGTGGAAGGTGAGACACTATCCTAAAAATAACTAGTAAAAATCTGGGCCAGAATCATGGCCCAGAGGTCCTAACCACATTTTTAAGTGCTCAATGAGCACATGTGACTAGTGGCTACCATATTGCACATCTCATTCTCATTCACCTTGGCTCACTCTCCTCAGTTTGTGTTTCCTTATGCTTTAAAGCAATGGTTCTTGACCAAGGGGCAATTTGCCAATATCCGACAGTTTCAGATGGCATTTCTATAGTCTACTAGGTGAGGGGAGGATAGTTCTGCTGGCCGGTACAGGTAAAAGTCACTACGCATCCTACAAACCAGGAAGGACAGCCACCCTCAGCAAAGAATTGCTAACCTAACACTACTCTCCAACCTACTGAGTGATGTTTTAGTAGAGCTGGAGTTAAAAAAAAAACACTGCTTTACAGTTACTGGCACTAAACAGTAACAGGAAATGCTCATGAAAATATCTACAACTTTGGGTTTGAATATAGTTGGTTACAAACTAATAACAAAAATAAGTTTAGCTAATGTTTACATAACCCATACATGGGTAGAAGCACTTTTGCAAAAATTGTCTCATTAGCTAGGCTGCACAGTTAGTTTTGTTTCTATTCTACCACAATTGTCTTCTCAGTCGTTGACATTTATTCATGAATATATCACACTTACTTTGTTTTGTAATTTTGAGCAACACTATTAAGGCAACTGTTTGAGGTGAATTTTATTTTTATTACTTATCATATGTCAGCTCTATCTATATTTCCTTTTCTAGTCTGGCTGTAACCCTCTAAACTTGTGAGGGGAGGGAGTTTGAGGTTTATATGTTTCTATTCCTTCAACTTCTTCTCTCCCTCATTTCCGTAAGGTCTCATCTGCCCCAACTTTGTCTAGTAAAGCCAAAATAACTACATTTTGTTCTCTTTACTCTTCTGCTTATTATACATGTCAATATTTATTGCATTCTTTAAGGTATTTTGTGTATTTGTTTACAAGCCATATTATATGATAGGAAGGAGTCATTCTCTACCAATTATTAACAAAGCTAATAATGTAAAAAGAAAACAATATCACCATACTTGTTTGAATAACATTAAATATACTTGTTTGAATAGCATTAAGCCCCAAACTAAATCAGGGTGCAATAAGGAAAATTAATATTTTCAGAATTACTAATGAAAATGCTAAATCCCTTTATCATAAAAGAAACATGTTTTCAGTGAGCTAAGTGTGAAAAAAATAGCCATGGACTGTGTAAATTTATACTGAAAGGTCACCCTAACTTGATGAGATTCTATAAATGCTTAAGGCTGAGGAGTTAGATTCTTAATTCTTTTTTCTTTTTCTTTTTTTGCCAGTCTTGATGATTGAATTTAGGGTCTGGGCACTGTCCCTGAGCTTCTTTTATTCAAAGCTAGCATTCTACCACAGCACCACTTCAGGCTTTTTCCATTTATGTGGTACTGAAGAATCAAACCCAGGGCTTCATTTATGCTAGGCAAGTACTCTACCACTAAGCCACATTCCCAGCCCTGTATTCTTAATTCTATCATGTGATAACATCAGCATCAGCTGGACACTGGTGGCTCACACTCACAATCCTACCTACTTAGAAGGCTGAGATCTGAGGATTGAGGTTTGGAGCCAGTTTGGGCAGCAAAGTCCATGAGACTCTGATCATCAATTGACTACCAAAAAGCCAGAAATGGTGCTGTGGCTGAAAGTCCTAGAGTGAGCACAACCACTCCGGGACAGTGCCCAGTCCCTGAATTTAAGCCCTAGAACTGGCATAAAGAAAAACAAACAAACAACAAAAACCCAACTCAACATCTCCTGACTTCTTTCAGGCAAATGGTAAGAAATACATATTTCAGCAAGCTTATGAAACATCAACTATTTAGAGAAAATGGCACCCTTACTTCTTTGAATAAGCAAACGGTTAAAAAAAAAAAACCATGATTGCTGTAAAGGTTATTTGATCCTCAGGAGAGACACTTAACTGTGCTTAGGTTTGTTTGAAGGACTTTGCACAGTACATGGCAGGGAAGCATACTTTACCAAGGCCTAAAGAATGACCTTGGATTTGAAATGTGCTACAGATAATACTTTTTTTCTTTTCATGTTCCACTACTATGTCTTGAGTCTTCATTAACTTTATAAAAGTGAGTTTCTTTATTCTGGAAGGACAAAGAAAGGTTCTCCTAGAAAATATATACTTTGTGATTCATTTTAAAAGGCCACCATAGCTTTATTTAAGCTTCTAATGTGTCATAGACAAGAATTTTCCCCATACCAGATGCTCTGTGCCCATAGTATCATGATTTATATAAGTTTATAGAATCAAGAGAATCCGTTGGCTCTGGATGGCATGTGTTGTTTTCCTGACTTAGTATATTATAGCTGTTTGTCATCTATTGACTTTTTTGGTCCTATACCCATATACTTTGCCCATAATTCTTAGTAACTTCATTTTAATAACTATAATGTATAGAGAGATATTAAAGCTGCCATACACCTTATTCACTTTTCTTCCTGTGTGTCCTGTACAAATGAATACTTATTCTACTAATGTGCTTGGTGAGTTAATTTAATTTGTGTCTTTTTCCTTCTCATCAGTTGAATGCAAGCTCTTTGTTATTTCTGCCCATATGGGCAGAAATAACCATTTTCTTGTTGAATCCTATAATTTTTTATTTCCTAAAGGTTGCATTTTCCAGAATGTTCTGGAATAGTGAAATAGAAACTGTTTATTAAACTAAAACAGAGTTAGGACTAGTTATTTCTGTCTTTTCCAGGTTTCTTAACAAAATACCCAGTAGTATTCTATTCCTAGTTAGTTGGGGAAAGGACTAGCTAGCTTCCAAATGGCAAACTCTTAGGTGATAGAGTTCTGTTCCAAAGACTTTCTCATGTTTTATTTCCAGAGAATCAAAGGAAAATTAATAGATGTAGGCCTAGGAGAAGCAACTGGGGGTGGGGGCGGGGAGCACTGCAAAATTATGCTGAGGAAAACTTGTCCAGAATTGGTTAGAAGGGAGATTGGTCATAATAGGGAATTATGCAGCTTCACAGTTCCAGTTGATTAAGAAAGTTAGAAATAGATGAATCTTAACTTCTTTAGAGGTTTAGATATATATGCAGAGAGAGACTCTTCTTGCTATTCTTAAGAACTTTACAAATTAGAAATTAATAGATTTTTGTTTCTGTATTGGAGTTTTAATTGAGGGCTTTCTATTTGTTAAGCATTTGTTCTACCTCTTTGCTACACCTCCATCAAAGAGTGTATCTTTTTTGTTTTTTTTTTGAGGAGTTTTTTGTTTGGGGGTTTGTGGGGTTTTTTGTTTTCTTTTGTTTTTTTTTTTTTTTTGGTTGCTTCTTTGGTTGATTTTATTTTTGGCCTGGGCTGGCCTGGACTGTAATCTTTCTATTTATGCTTCCTGCCAACCAGCGTGTACTACTCTACTCAGCTATAGATGAGATCTCACAGACTTTTTTCCCAGTTGTCCTGAACTGTGAACCCTATCTCTGCCTTC